GCTTAGGAATGCAAGAGATAATGGCTATACCACGATAATTACGTACGTCAGATTTACAGCCAGATTTAAAGATAGGCACTAGGAATGAGCTTTTCCAAGTTTTTGGGAAGGTTCCAGATTCCAGGGACATAATAAAAATCCAGAACAATGGAGCAGTGAGTTCCATTGCTAGACATTTAATAAATACTGGAGGAATTCCGTCAGGTCCAGGACGTTTTGAGGCGTCTAAATTTTTTAAAGCCTGCAAAATATCCTGCACTTGAAGTTGATTGAGGCCAATGTCCCTTGAAAATTCTGGAAAAAATGCAAAATATTCGCGGTCGCGATCTTCTTCAGAAAATGTCGTATAGATTTCTTGAAAAATTTTTGCAAATAGATTGCAGTTTTTTTCCGAGCTTCTTCTTTCCTTTATTTAACGTCGGTCTCTGTTCCGCAATCTAGTGCCAATCACCGACGGACATCGATTGCCATCCATTGACGGCAATCGAATGTGCAGGAAGGCAGCTTCCACACCTGCGCAGGATATCACACCCATTCAACACACATGGACCGGGACCAACGGCTTTACTTCCCTTCCGAAGGATGACGTGACCAGAGATTTTTATGCCTCAGAAAAATCCCACTGACCTCGACTGGGATTGAACCCAGACCCATTGGGGTGTTGGAAAGCAGTCACGCTTACCACTACACCACCGGCGCCGGCTTTTTCCGAGCTATCACCGACATTTTCGTCGAGTTGCATTATTGAAGGAAAATTGTCAGATTTTAATTTGGTTTTTACGTAATTAAAGAAGTTCTTTGGACAGGACTTTATTTCATGTTCTGTTTTTGCATTATATTCTTCAAATGCAGTACTGATAGCTAAATTCAATTGATCGCATATATCCAAATAAATTAATAAATTATTACTACTATTGTGTTTTTTATAAATTTTATGTGCTTTTTGCTTCCGATTTTTCAAGTTTTTTATTTGTCTGTTTTTTCTCTAGCTAATAAATTATCACACTAAAGCTTCATGTTAGATAGCATTCCCAACCAACTCTGAAAATCGCAAACTTCGCGTATGAAGTAACGTAAAAACACTTTGAATGTAAAAATTAATTGTTTTTCATTACATTTACCCCGGCTTACCATTTTGACAAAGAAGTGTACATATACCGCATGGAAAACCGACATTGAAACCGAGGCCCCGAAGACCGAGTGCCATAACTGATACCGACAAAAGGTGGCTAGTGAAATTCAGCATTTTGTAGGTATTGATATTTTGTAGCACTGTCTATATGCACTTCCACAGTTAATAATAAAGAGCTTTCTATGCTAACTAATGCATGAATTTGTATAGTGTATGGCAAAAACACAATGATACTCACACTCACTATGTCCAGGGAAGTCGAGAAAATTTCTAACCTGAATGATATCCTCGACCGGACCGGGAATCTAGCCTGTCGCCTTCGGTTTGGGAATATCGTGCCTTTTCTGACTAGGCTATCTAAAACTCCTATACAGCAATTCCATAGAAAAAAGTTATAGTGGGTCTCAGAATTTCATGAAAATTGGTATAGTTCTTCCTTATCAAAAAATATTAGACTCGTATTTTTTTATTGCGCCATTAGGGTGACCATTTCCGTGTTAGGGTGGTCCAAAAAATCATTTTTTTTCAAATATGTCCTTTTTCAAAAATTTATAACTTTTGAACCTCTTGACCGATTTTTACGATTGACTCTTCAAATGAAAGATGTTTTAATTTAATTTTAAGAAAAATTATGAAACACTCAGAGATATTTGATTTTGTAGGAAAAAATATATGTTACAAATGCTTTTTCTTGATTTTCACTGCGAGGGCTTCAACAACTTCTTATTTAGTATTTTTAATTGAAATATCATTTAATTTTACATAACATATCAAAAAATTAGCGATGTCGGAGAAGCAGTTTTGGAGATACAATTTTTTTTAAATAAAAAATTATTGTTCCGCAATATATGCACCACAGGTGCATGGAAACGATGAAGACGCAAGGTAGTTCACAATGCGTCTCCATCGAGTCACAGCAGCTGTGACTAATGAAATCTATGAGTAACTTACAAGCTGGGTGCAACATTCAGTTCAGCCTGGAGGCTGTCCATAAACCACGTAGTCCAATTTTTAAACATTGCAGATCCTACCTCCCCCCTCGTATACTTTACTAAAATTTTAAAATATTTTTACCGAGCGTATACTGTGGCTGGACTCCCCTCCTGGACTTTTGGTATCAAAATTCTGGGAGAAGTACTTAAATGCTACAAATAGTGACGAGGTCGAAGAAAAATAAGTAAAACATGAAGCATTTATTTTCTTTAATTACAATTTCACACATTTTTCTTCCGTTGAAAATGAATACCGTTTGACAATAATATACTTTTCGTTTTGAGGCTTAAAACTATGGAATGACTGTGTCCCCGAAATTTGGTTCACATGTATATAACGGTTTTTCAATTTTCTTTCCATTTTATTGTAATCGGATTCCGAAAAAAACTGATAGTGTATTTTTGAATCTGGCTTAGAAATAGCCCATGAGTAAAGTTCTTGGGCCGTTGTTATATGGTGGCCTTGCAAACTCGCTTTCGCAGCGTTTCGTTTTAATACTCCTCCCAAAGCATCACAAGGGCCCTTTCCATGACAAGTTGCGAAAAAATTCCACTCGGCAGCAATGCCAAAATCTTTTTGCATGTTGCATAAATTAAAAGCGGTCATCTTATTTTTATATTGGCTTCCTGATCCATCTGAGAAAAAGTAAATCTGTTGTAAGCTTGGCAATTTACATTTTATGAACGCTAGACAATGCGTAAGAAATAAACGAACTGCGACATGATTATGTTTAGTGAAATCAGCAATTGCAATAAAACTAGTAAATTTCAAATCGTTAGATTCTTCGTCTTTAAAATAAATAGCACAAGGGTGAATAGTACATTGGGCGTTCGCCCAATGAAAGCCTTGAACTGCATCCTGCACAACGAAAGAATAATTCTCCGAAAAATCACAGATTATGATGCATTCTGTAGCTTTCAAATTGCTTTTGACGTGTTTCATGTAATTTGCCTGTTGCTCAGAACATGAACTCAACATCCAAACATTGAACACTTACGTTTCATTTTTAGATATTCTTCAATTCAACTGTTCTAGTAGGAAACTTTGATTTCTAACTGATCATTTCTTTCATAACATTCGTTGTTTTATGTGAAGCATTATATCGTACCTACGAGTGAGTGATATACCTACGAGTCTAAGCTGTAACTCATAGGTATATCACCTGTTCGTAAGCAATGACGTCACTTCAAACAGCTGTTTCAGGTAAATAGATGAATATTGCGAATAAATACAAACACCACCAAACATTTCCAAATGTCACTAACACCGCGAAGCCTATTGGGCTGGAGCTTATGTAAAAGTCATTGCCTACGAACGAGTGATATACCTATGAGGTACAGCTTGGACTCTTAGGTACTGATGCAACATGCTGTTTTATAGCAGTTTCGTAAACTCCACGGAGGCTTGTGGGTTCACAGAACTCGAGAACCTTGTTAGACTTCAGGAATGTCTTAAGGGACCGGCTTTAGAGGCTGTGCGTAGTCGACTTCTCTTGCCACGAGGGGTACCACAGGTCATAAACACTCTCCGTATGCTCTACGGTCGCCCCGAACAGTTGGTCCACACACTCTTGAATAAGGTCCGGAAAACTGACGCTCCTAGAGCCGACCGCCTCGAAACCTTCATCCCATTTGGAATGGCCGTTCAGGAGTTGTGTGACCATCTGGAAGCAGCTGATCTTCGTGACCACCTCGTAAACCCGATCCTTCTTCAGGAGTTAGTCGACAAGCTACCTGCGTCAGCTAAGCGAGAATGGCTACAATTCAAAAGGATCGCACTCGACGGCACTCTTCGTACATTCGCTGACTTTATCTATCGCATTGTTGCCGACGCAAGTGAAGTCACATTGTATACCAAAGCCCCATCCAACAATCGAGTCGATAAGCCGAAGCCGAAGAATCAAGGAATCATCCACACTCATAGCGAGGAGTCTGCTGTAGTTCCAGGACCGAGCAAACCGTGCCTCATTTGCCAAAAGTATGGCCATCGAATAAGAAACTGTGACGAATTCCGCGGTCTTGGTCTATCCGATCGCGTCAAACTGATGCGGCAACGTAAGTTCTGTGAACGATGCTTGAATGATCATGAAGGTTGGTGTAAATTCAAAATCACCTGCAACGTTGGTGACTGTCGTCAGCGGCATCATCCTTTGGTCCACCACGATGGAGCATCGGCCAGGATAGTCCCTCAACCAACACCGACGCAGGTGCAAAATCCGGAATTTCACCACGCCCACGTTTCTACGAAGATGTCGGTGATTTTTCGCATCATCCCAGTCACTCTTCACAACAGGTCGAAATCCATAACAACGCTCGCCTACCTAGACGAAGGTTCTTCGATGACGCTAATCGAAGACAGTCTCGTTGCTGCACTGAACGCAAAGGGATTTCCGCAGCCACTAACGCTGCAGTGGACTGGTAATATCGTTCGCCAGGAGCCGGCTTCGGAGTGTCTGACACTTAAGATATCTGGAGTTGGGAGCAGAAAACGCTTCAATCTCACCAACGTACGAACCGTGAAGAAAATGCACCTGCCGAAACAAGGAGTAAACTTCGAGGATATTGGTAAGCGGTATAGTCACCTGAAGGGTCTACATGCAGCAAACCGAGCCAATGACTAGCCGAAGGTTTTGATTGGCCTAAACAACGTCTATCTACTGGCACCTATCGAGTCGCGGATTGGAAAACCTAACGAGCCAATCGCCGTTCGATCGCAGTTGGGCTGGACGATTTACGGTCCACGGGAGGTTACCACGTCAGGTGAATTATTAGGTCTTCACGTCGGCCTCACGAACGAAGAGCTCCACGACCAAATCCGAGAATTCTTCACCATAGAAGAAACAAATGTCTCTGTACGCGCACTTCCAGAGTCCGAAATGGATCGCCGAGCAAAGGAACTACTGAAAACCACCACAGTTCGAGTCGAAGGTGGTTACGAAACGGGTCTCCTTTGGAAAAAGGATGACTTCCAGTTCCCGGACAGCAAGAGAATGGCAATCAAGCGTCTTGACCACCTAGAACGCCGTCTAAAAAAGAATCCAGTCATCGAGCAAAATGTGAGGTTGCAGATAGAAGAATACCAAAGGAAGGGTTATGCCCACAAAGCTTCACTTGTCGAGTTGGCAAAGGCAGACCCACGGAAGGTTTGGTATTTGCCTCTGAATTACGTTCTTCACCCGAAAAAGCCGAACAAGGTCCGGCTTGTCTGGGACGCTGCTGCCCAAGTAGACGGTGTCTCACTAAATTCAATGCTTCTCACCGGTCCCGATTTTCTAACATCCCTGACAGCGGTGATTCAACGGTTCCGTGAGCGACTGGTGGCTTTTGGAGCCGATATATGTGAGATGTTTCACCAAATTTGGATGAGGGAGGTTGACAAACATGCCCTGCGTTTCCTTTTCCGAACCGATCCATCAGCCAAAGATCCGGACGTATTCTTGATGGACGTAATGACGTTTGGCGCGGCGTGCTCTCCAGCGTCTGCACAATACATAAAAAATTTAAATGCTGCGCAGTTTTCCGAACGATTTCCAGAAGCGGTGAAGGCGATAATCCGTCGCCATTATGTCGACGATTACCTGGACAGTGCGGATAGCGTTGACGAAGCGATCGAGCGAGCGAAGCAGGTCAGATACATCCACTCTCAGGCGGGATTTGAGCTACACCACTGGGTTTCAAACTCGGATGCGTGCCTCGCTGATCTTGGGGAATCCGAGGTTGAAGAAAGGATCCCGTTACACGACAGCAAGGATAGCAAGACGGCCAGGGTTCTAGGCATCATCTGGTGTCCAAAGCAAGACGTGTTCACCTTTTCAACCTCTTTACGGGACGATCTGATTCCTTACCTGACCACACCGAAGCGACCAACAAAGCGCATTGCGCTAAGCTGCATCATGTGCCTCTTCGACCCGATAGGGTTGTTGGCGCCTTTCACAATCCAGGGAAAAATCCTGATGCAAGACCTGTGGCGAGCGGGTTGCGAATGGGATCAGGAGATGGATGACCAGTCTTACGCCAAATGGACGCATTGGAGATCCTTACTGCCGCAAATCGAGAAGTTGAAAATACCTCGATGCTACCTGCGTGGTGCACCTCCTGAAACATATAGTTCCCTACAGCTCCATGTGTTGGTAGATGCGGGGGAAAAGGCATATGGTGCCGTTGCATTTTTCCGTGTTACGACTCCAAATGGATCACGATGTTCGTTAGTGATGGCCAAAACCAAGGTAGCCCCTTTGAAGCCATTATCTATTCCCCGTCTGGAGCTGCAGGCGGCCGTTTTGGGCGTACGGCTTCTCAACACCGTTGTTGCAAATCACGATGTGCAGATAACAAAACGCGTGCTGTGGACCGACTCGAGAACGGTCCTGTCTTGGATACGGTCGGATCACCGAAACTACAAACCGTTTGTTGCGTTCCGGATCGGGGAGATTCTGCAAGAAACAGTAGTGGACGAGTGGCGCTGGGTACCAACCCGATCTAACGTGGCAGATATGCTCACCAAGTGGGGCAACGGGCCGGTTTTGGACAACAACAGCGCCTGGTTCAATGGCCCTGACTTTCTTCAGCTACCGGAGGAATCATGGCCTACACAAAAGCTTCCTCCATCTAACACTACCGAAGAACTTCGAGCATGTCACATGTTCCACAATGATCAACTCTCCGAGCCGCTGATAGATGTCACTCGAATTTCCCGTTGGAATGTGGTTTTGCGCACAGTTTGCGTGATTTTCCGCTTCATTTCGAACTGCCGAAGACGAGTTCAAGGACGAACAGCTGAACCGATTGAGGTTTCAGTTAAGCTGCAACGGATTTCCCTGCGTGCGCCAGTAAAGACGGTCGTTCCACTGAAACAGGAGGAGTATGAAAAAGCTGAGTTGGTGCTGTGGAGGTTGGCGCAACGTGAGTGCTTTCCCCACGAGATTACGATTCTTTCCAAAAACCAAGCGCATCCGAAGTAGAAATGGTCAACGGTAGAAAAGACGAGCAAGCTCTACCGTTTAGGACCGTTTCTGGACGAACACCAAGTTCTACGAATTGACGGTCGAACGAAGCTGGCAGAGATGGTTCCGTACGACACCCGTTTTCCCATCATTTTACCGAAGAATCACCCAATTACCATTCTCGTGCTGGAGCACTATCATCGACACTTTGCCCACGGTTTCAAGGAAACAGTCGTCAATGAACTTCGACAACGTTTTTACATCCAAAATATTCGAGCGTGTGTGGGGAAGGTAATCAAGGCGTGTCAATGGTGCAAAGTTCGGAAATGTCAACCACGAACTCCGAAGATGGCTCCCTTGCCAGTCGAGCGTGTAACACCGTTCATCAAGCCCTTTAGCTATGTTGGGATTGACTATTTCGGCCCGGTAACAGTAGCAGTAGGGCGGCGTGTCGAAAAGAGGTGGGTCGTTGTCTTCACGTGCCTGAGTGTGCGAGCTATCCACCTGGAAGTGGCCCATAAGCTGAACGTGGATTCTTGTATCATGGCAATCCGCCGATTTGTTCTGAAAAGAGGTCCGCCAATCACCATCTTCTCTGACAACGGCACGAACCTTAAGGCTGCCAGTAAGGAACTCCAGGAGCAGATTCGACGGATCGACACGGCTGGCGCAAACGTCTTCACGAATGCTAGAACGCGTTGGACATTTAACCCGCCATCCGCCCCTCATATGGGTGGAGTATGGGAGCGTATGGTGCGCTCCGTCAAGGAAACCATGGCTGCCCTGATCACCGTAGACCGGCTCAACGATGAGATCCTTCTCACCATCATCGCGGAAGTAGAGGAAATAGTTAACGCTCGGCCGTTGATCTACATGCCAGATGATCCTATAAACCCAGAAGCGCTAACCCCCAACCATTTCGTCAAAGGAAGTTCTACTGGTCTTCAGGACCCTAGCATCGCACCAACGAATTTGGCAGAAGCACTTCGTAGCTCCTACAAACGTTCACAATACGTCGCCGACGAACTGTGGAAGCGCTGGCTTAAGGAATATTTACCGTCGTTGAATGTTCGGACCAAGTGGCTGGAGAGCAGTGAACCACTGAAAGCAGGAGACTGGTGTTCATCGTCGACGACCATGGCCGGAATGGCTGGATTCGTGGCCAAGTTGAGCAAGTCATCCCGGGCAAAGATGGACACATTAGACAGGCTATTGTTCGTACGAATAGTGGACTGTTTCGACGACCGCTGGTCAAACTTGCTCCTATCGAGATGGCGAAGGTTGGTAAATCTGTCCCGGAAGTTGACCCTGGACAAGGTTTACGGGCCGGGGAATTGTTAAGCCCACTGTTCAGCAAGTCAGCGATGAGTCTACCTCACTGGTAACTGCCGAGCCGCTGACTGTATGACAGATACGAGGACTGACAGGTATGAGATGATGTCACCAGCAAAGTGAAGAATAAAATCACAATTCTAGGCTGGAACGTGCACAGAAGTGATCTTCGTAAAATTAGAATTAAATTTACTTAAATTATTTGTGATTATTCACAAAACTTACTTGCTAACTAAATTTGAACTCCTAAAAGTAAGTTTCTTATTACCTAAATGAATTAAAATACCTTTTCTAACAATGTGTTACCTAAAACTAGCCTATAAACCCGTAAGAGCCCCATCAGGTCAGAGCACGTTGTACACGGGAGAAAAGACTACTAAAATTCTGTAAGTAGCTTCAAATTATCCTAATATCCGATCCTAAAATGTGTATTTAACTTATAGTTGAGCTGATAAACAACGAGCTGCTACAAGAATTATATTTCTCTCGCACAATCCAAATCCTCCCCAACAGTGACATTTGCATCATATTGGGGAACGTACAATATGTATATATGTATATTAGACCTGTTCATTTTAACAGAAGTATTCGGGATGCACCGGGTCAACCGTGATTACTGTTCGTCATGTTAATTTGAACTTCTGTGCAAATTTTTAGCAAAATCGGTTAGGATGTAGATGTGCTTCAAGTTAATTTTATGTTTTTAGGTAATTTACGGCTTATAATATTTGTTTCTCGAGACTGAAACAATGAAAACTGCTGTAACAATTTTCATAGCGAAGACTAATGTGTTATCTACCAACTTTGTGACTAGAGGTTGGCTATTCCAAGTGATTTTACTGAAGTTTGATTTAGTTTCATGCTCGAAGATATCTTAAAAAGTGAAGAATTTTAAAGTATTTGTTCTACGAACTTTTCACCCATATAATATAAAAATCTAGAGTCTACGGCATAATGTTTGTTATACTGTTCTAAAAATTTCGTTCAAAAATAGTTTTGGTGTAGATTCCATAGATTGAGATATAAAAATCAGAAAAAGGGGCCATTATAGCTAAAATTCACAAGACAACAGAGCCAATTAAAGTTTCAGTTAGATTGACCGCACATAGTTGCATTGCTTTTCAATGACGACCGAAGACTGTTTCATTGATAGACGATTTTTTGACGTAGAACTACGTCTTTGTCGACTATACTGGGGTGCAAATCAAAAAATATGTGTGGTGAAAGAGTGTTAGGTTTTGAACGCTTGTAACTTTGTCATTTATAGATGAAATTAAAATCCAAATACGCCAATCGATAAAACGTGTTAAAATAAATATTTTTCCAATTTTTCTGTAAATAAACTTTTGAAAATGTTCATGAAAAAGCAGAAGTTTTTCCCTTAATTTCTTCCCACACCAAAACTTTCAAACTTTAACAAAAAAATTGCTTGAAAGACACATTCAATGATATTAAGTTGGTGAATTAGAAGCTTAGTGAGCAGTATGACGAGCAACTCCGAGTGGCTGATGGCTACGGCGATATCTGTGCTGCTGAAATTGTTATAATGGGCACTCCAACATTGCTGGTATCGGTGTACATTATGTCAAGTAAAGGTTTCATTAGGGGATACGCAACTATTTGTCAAATAGACTATATATTTTCAACCGAAACATTGAATTACTTGAAAATTTTAAGATAAAGTATAATAGTCAAAAATGCATGAAAAACATCAATTTTGTGTGGTTCTACGTCATACTGCGGTCGTGTCTAAGACACAACCCTTTAATTTTTTTTAGAAATATGAATCCTCAGTAGTCGTGTTTTATAATTCAGGTTTTGCTTAAGAATGGTATAACATAAATTGAAAGCTCATGCTCTGGATTTACAAATCGCATCATTGAAGATTCAGTCTTCTAAATGAATGAGACACATTTTTTTATATTTCATTGGTTGTGGAAAATGGTCGGAATGTGTCCAATATGCGCACGATCAGTATCACAAAATGAGTCAAATTTCTAACACATCATCATGCGATACATTAAATCATATGAGATTTATAAAATAAGGTCAATGGTGGACACATTAAATATATCTTTATTGGTCACGTCTGGCAAATCCGCGGTCCCCAGAAAACGGCAAATTTCAGACTTCTGGCTAAAACCTTCATGCAACGCTTCAAATCACATGAGAATCCAAATTCATGTGCATTGGCAGCCCGTGGATATGGTCAGCCAAGTACCATTAGCAGGGATGGAAAATCATTTAAAATTCATTTCGTGCATTCATTTGCCTCTAACTTTTTTTATCAACAATACCGTAAAATGAAGTATAATGCTTTTGTAGCTATTGATATGAACTACAACTTTTGATACTAACTAAAATCTGTATCTCTTATGCATGACGAAATAGATCTGGCAGAACATGCCATTGTTTTTCAGTGAATGCACTGAAAAACAATGGTGGGTTCTTATTGCACTGATTAATCATGCATAAGAGATACAGATTTGAGTTGTTTGCAAAAGATGTAGTTAATATCAAAGCCTACAAAACCTTCTAACATTATTTTATGGAATTCTGTTGATGAAAAAAGTTAGAGGCAACTGAATGTAAATGAATGCACGAAATGAATGTAAATGATTTTCCATCCCTGGCCATTAGCTGTAGAAATGTGTGATCTGACCGAAAATAAATGTAAAATACTGAGATGCAACAGCCAACTTGTTCAAATTGTGCAACTTTCCTAATAGCTAAATTATTGTGTTGTCGAGTTGAACTCACGATTCATACATACATGCATTCCCAAGAGTGTCCTGGACATTTCTGCTCACGATCATTTTTCATCTTATTAAGGCAATATACAAATTCAAGCAGAAAAACAGCTTATTGTAGAAATAATCCCTAACAACTTACGATCCGGAAAGGAGTAATTCCTTGCATTTCTTTTTTATTCTTTCCTTTCAGGGTTTCAGTCCCAAGATACTTGCAGAGCTCTCGCAGTTCAAAGCAGATAATGGCCAACAGCAATTACTATTTGTTCTCTCTCGAATGCTGGAGGAAAAAAACATCGATAAGGCGGACGTCGTGTCACGAACAAAAGCAATGATAACAGGTAGGTAGCTGTGCATGCAATACCATCATTTTGTTGAAAATTTTCCAAGCAAGCTTCCATCGTTTACCAACCAAGGTTGGTGAATAGGGGAGTTGTTGAGTGTGAACAAACACCAGTTAAAGATCGTTTCATTTTATGGCAAAAAGAGGAACTACTATCTCTAAAGCGGTGTGAAAATTCGAACGATTTTTTCAACACGAAAGACGATTACCGAAAAGCGTGAATAATTGAAAACGAGTGTTAGCTGGGTTGGTTGAATGGTATGTTTAAATGTTTTATTAGATCGAATAATGGGTGGGGACCTATCGTTAAAGCAAATGTTTCAAGTTTCTAGTGTGTAAGTAATCGAAGAGATTCAATTCCATTTTATCACAAATCAACTGTTAAATTACCCGAGTAAAATGTATAGCGATGATATAAAATTTAAAAAAAAACAATATTTATGCTATAATTATTCATCATGTTTTGGTATAGACTTCAATTGCTTATTTTACAGCTGCGATAAAACTTCTTCAACTACGAATTAATCCGTAAAATGGAGGCTGCTATATAGTGGATCGCAGAAATTCAGACAACCTGGAAATGTTAATCAAAT